AGCAATTCTACTCTTGTGGGAAAAATGCCAAGAAAAATGCTGCAAATGAAACCGTAGGTCCACACACAGACTTGTACACAAAGACTTCAGAGCAGCATTACTTGATCAAAGCCTCAAGTGGACAAACAGTCCACTAGTGAATGGATGAGCAAAACTGTGGTATGTCCGTATGACGGGCTGGTCCTAGGCGAAAGAGAAGAGCTAACCAGTGGCACGCTGTGACATAAATGCCCCTCAAAAGGAATGCAAGGGAAGAAGCCAGGTACAAATAACCACACCCTGAAGAAGTCTATTCACATGAAATATCCAGAAAAGGTCAATCTGTACAGACAGAAAGTAGATTAGTAGTTGTCCGGGACTGGGAGTGGGAACAGGGATTGCTTGCAAACAGGCACAACGGATCTTTTTTGGAATGACACAAATATTCTAAATTTGATTATAGTGATGGTTATACAACTCTATAAATTTTTCTAAAAATCACTGAATTTTTTTTTTTTTAAGATTTTATTTATCTATTTGACAGAGAGAGAGACAGAGAGAGAAGGAACACAAGCAAGGGGAATGGTAAAGGGAGAAGCACGCTTCCTGACACGAGGCTCAATCCCAGGACACCAGGATCCTGCCTGGGCCACCCAGGTGCCCCTAAAATTACTGAATTTTAAGGTGCAAATTTTATGGTTTGCAAATTATGGTTTGCAAGGCTCTTACTAAAAAAAAAAAAGTATCTCACCAGATACATAGCCATCGACAGGGGCCTTTGTGTGTCCCCCATTATTAAGGCATGAGAGAGGATAAGGCTAACAGGGTAGGGGGCACCAACTGGCATCCTTGCCTCTGCCTGTCATTTCCATCTTGGGGCCTGAGTCCGTGGAGGCCAGTTGGGATCCCCCACCCTAAGAACAGCAGAGTGACTGCTACCTGGTGCCAGCATGCCGTTTACCTCGAGATACAGACACTCACTCGGGGTTGCACTTAGTACTTCCTCCACAGCAAACTCCTGACTTGTCTACCCCGACTGAGCCCAGGCTGCACGTGGCTGCTGTTCTGAAAACAGTTTTGGGGAGCAATCCTATGGGCAAAGCAAGAGTCAGCCTGATTTTGACAACCTAGAGACTCCAGGCACTTTGAGACAGAGGGCAAAAGGTGGGGAGGATAAGGATCGGGTGTAGGATCTCTGTTGAAATTTACTAAATTCACACAAAACCAAGAAAATCTGCTAAGCAAATTGCTGATACACAAAATATTTCAAACGAAGTGTCGGACCTGCTTAAGAAACATCCGTTTCTGATATCCAAGGATAGATATTCTAAGTATAATTTATTCTCACTGAGGTATTAGAGGAAGCCAATGAGACTTCAAATTGCCACAAATTATAAACCGAATTCAAATGGCCTTTCCTCATCTAACATTATTGAGACCGAATGTCTTTATAAGGTTAAGTACTGCTTATAATTATACAGAAGGTGTGAAGTCTTCCAACACAATTCATAGAAGTGCTCAATTTTAATCCTGCAAATGTTAATTTAATAAATTTATATCTAATCTCAGAGCAACTGTTTCCAAATGTGGCCCTTTCACACCAGGCATCACACTCTACACATCCTCAATCTAGACCTCATTACTTGGGGACCCATGACCAAAGGGCCCCATCCCTGAAAACATTTATTAAAATCATCCCAAGCCAAATGGGAAATTTTGGCAGCAAAAACAAGACCAACTTTCTAAAGACTTTCCATTCCACTTTATATCCAAATAACATGCCCATTATAAGAAATCTTATTATTAAAAACCAATACCAGGGACACCTGGGTGGCTCAGTTGGTTAAGCAGCTGCCTTCGGCTCAGGTCATGATCCCAGCGTCCTGGGATCAAGTCCCGCATCAGGCTCCTTGCTCGGCGGGGAGCCTGCTTCTCCCTCTGCCTCTGCCTGCCATTCTGTCTGCCTGTGCTCGCTCTCTCTCCCTCTCTCTCTGACAAATAAATAAAATCTTAAAAAAAAAATAAATAAAAACCAGTACCGTTTCATTTGAAAATACTGAAAATAGTTTCTTTTCATCATATCCAACCATTTCTGATTAATTACAATTAACCTGAGTAGAACGGCTTCTTTTTCTATCCTTCACAACAGTGGCTTTCAAACTTTTTCATCTCAGGACCCCTTTCTGCTCTTAAAAATCCACTGAGGACCTCAAAGAGCTTTTGTTTCTGCAGGTTATATCTATCTAGACTTTCTGTATTGGAAATTAAACAGAGAGCATTTTAAACATATTTATTTCCTACTTAAAAAAATAAACTACATCTTCTTTTTTTTTAATTAGACATACCTAGGCTGTCAAAAACAAAAGAAAAATTGGAAGAGTAGTACTGTTCTACCCTTTGGAGATATATTTAATGTGTGCCTTTCAGGAAAACACCTGGATTCTCACACATGCTTCTTAGTGTCATGATGCATTGTTTTGGTTGAAGTACACGAAGATAATCCAGCCTGACATAAATCAGGAGCTAGAAAAGGCAAGAGTATTTTCATAGGCTCTTTAGATAACTGTGGTCATTTTTCTTTGATACTACACTAAGACAAATCGGCTGAGTGTTGGGGCACCTGCATAGCTCAGTCGGTCAAGCATCTGCCTTCGGCTCAGGTCATGATCCCGGGGTCCTGGGATCGAGTCCCGCATCGGGCTCCTTGCTCAGTGGGCGTCTGCTTCTCTCTCTCTCTCTCTCTCTCTCTCTCGCCCTCTGCCTCTCCCCCTGCTCCTGCTCTCTCTCAAATAAATAAATAAAAATCTTTCTAAAAAGTTAGCTGCAGTGTGGAATCTGAAACTGTATCAATGAACTTTACAAATACTATTACATGAAAAACCACAGGTTTATCTTACATAATACCAAAATAATAATAATAATAATAATAACTTTTGTTAATATGGCTGTGGATGCCACTAGAAAAGGCTGTTAAGTATTGAGAAGCTGTCAAGTTCATGGAGGTGGACAGGAGCTTTCCAAAATTCTTATTTTTACTAGAAAGCTGGAATCTTCTCTTAAGAGAAGTCAGTTCCTTTTCGAGAAGGGGTAGGCCAGCAGGCTTAAGGCATTTGTTTGCAATGTCGTCTCTAGGTGCAAGACATATAAAACTTATAAAGGACGTTCTTGGTGTAACTAGTTCTCTCTCTCTCTTTCTTTAAATCGTGTGTGTGCACCCACTGATTAAGCCAAAGTCTCAGGGGTTTCACCCTCAAGCGTGTGTATCGGCAGTTGGCACAGGCCAAATCATGTCTCAGTGTCGTAGTGAAAATTGCTCCGGCCTTCTCAGCCCCTTGCAAGGCTACTGGTGAACTCCCTAGCGGTCCCCAGGCCGTACTTTGAAAACTGCCGTGTTACCACATAATAACTGACCTCCAACCACCATTCAAATCATGAGGGTCAGCACCCAATTTAGAAAGGTATTACTGCTTGTTCAGGTTATCCACATGTATGACGCATCCCAAGAACCTTAATGTAAGTAGAAGGCTAGTTCCACAACCCAAATTCAATACAGAACCATGAAAAATGGAATCTAGTTACCACGTAAGGATACAAGACACTAAACATACTAGATTTACTAGGGAAGTTCTCCAAGAAATTTAAAACATGTATTTTTCCTTAATTTATCCACTTGTTTCCCCATTTGTTGGGGAAGTTGGCTCAGTATTGGAGAAGTGAAGTGTCTTCTGTGGACAGATCCTCCCCACCCTTCCCAGTAGCTGGGGTTCACAGTGTGTGAAGCAGCCAGGAAAGACAGCAGAGGCACTACCACCAAACCTAATCTAATTACAAGGCCCAGGGCCCATTTCAGAGTCTCTGTTTTCTTAGCTGGACCTGAGGCCAATTCCACTTACCACTGTGAGGACCGGAGAAGTGCGTGGAAGTGGAAAGCCTGGGCACGGCCCCTAACCCCCAGCAGGCATTCAGTAAGTGGGAGCCACTCTTATGAGTAGGGTACCCTGGAGGCAGGACGGGTCCAGAGGAGAGCAGGAAACACATCCAAGTGATCATGACCCAGCATGGGAACTGATTAATTATAAAATACACTGGGAGTAAGATGAAAATTGATGGTCTGTGTAAGGGGGGGAAGGTGCCATGATATGGGAGCCACCATCCCAAAGGGGGGAGGAGCTGACCCCAAGGGAGAAAAGAAACAGTAAGAGGTCCATCAGACACACAGAGCAGCTGGGCACAAGGCAGCTGGTGAGGAAAACACTCTGCCACCTGCTCACTTGGGACCTTGAATGCCACGCTCAGGTGTATAAACACTGGAAGAGCTTTTCTTTTTATTTTTCTAGAGACTGAAGCCTTATGAAGGGTCGTTGCTAAAAGGTCCTCTGGTGTCTGGCTGCCTTGGTGTCTTCACCTCCCATACACACAAATCACACTCTCACCTGTGACCTATTGGCTCTCCCCTGGCCTGAGGGTGACTAGTGGAGAAAGAAGAGAAAAGCTCCTCTCAGAGGCCGTGGGACAGCAGCAAGCCCCCGCAGCTGGGGAAATCTGCCCTTGCTGTTTTAAAGCCCAAATAAAGCACATACTGGGTAAAGAAGCCATTTTGTATTCTCTCTACCACTTACAAAATCTGGAAGCGTGAAACCTTATCTCCATCGCAGCCCCAGTCCACCTCAGGTCCTGGGCTCCAGTGGAATTTCTAGGTGGCTTCTCTTAATGGAGTGAGAACAGAAGGAGGGTCTGCCCTGTTTTCCATCACAACCGCAGCCATCTGTGAAGTCTCCAGCCATTGCCTGAGCGAGCCCAGAAGCCCAGAGAGGCCTCCCGTCTCTCCTGCTCTCGGGCAGGGACACCACATTCTGCCTGGGTGTGTCTGGACCCGAGGGGGGACCACAAGGCCAGCCTGGGTACAGCCCCCCAGGTGCAGTCAGCAAACACCCCACAACCAGCCGCGCTGCTCCGCACTCACCTACAGGAGGCGCCCATCTGGACGAAACCCACCGCCACCACAGCAATGTCTTACTCACCCAGAATTTTACGAGGAAGAAGGCATTTTGGGGGCCTTTTCCAAACAGTTCCTTTAAGCCACCCTTCTTTTCAGGAAATTTGTCATAGATCTGACGAATGTCCACTGATTCGAGCAATGGGTCACTGTAAGAGTGGTTGGCATGCCCAATGTGCACGAAGAGGTGTTTGTTGTACTGTAAGAAACCAACAGAAACATTCCCATTACAAACCCTCTGGTCAACCTGGGGCACATCCGTCTTGAGGTGGATGAGGGGCAGCAATCTCGAAATCCCGGACTTACACCTTAAATGCCTACAGTCTGTGCCTTTGAAAAGATGAAGATGTTAAGAAAAACCATTATAGAGTTAAAAGCATCATTGTCTTTTATTGACAGGGGTATCTACTTTGGCTCAAAAAGGATTTTCATAGAGTAGTAAATACAACTGAATTTACCTGACTACCAAACCAAGAAACTCTTCTATTCACCCAGTTTCGCCGGACTCAACTGAAAATGACAGCAAAACTCTTTGGAGCCCAATATTCACAGCTCAGCCCAACAAGGAGTATGTGTGTGGTCAGTCAACGAACATCGTCATCCAGATTGTACTTCTTGCTCCGGCTCGCCCAGCAACAGCACGGGCGCAGTGCTCTGGGCAATGGTAGCCACCTACTTCCTTCAACAGGAGTCAGAGTGCTGATCCTCTCTCTCACCAGTCCCCTTAGTAACCAGTGTAGAGCTCCTGCATAGGGGCTGGTCAGTACATGGCTGTCAGTGCCAAGTTAGGGTCAGGAGAAGAGATCATGGAGAGGATTCAAGGTCACATGGGGCTGTTAATCAGAGAACACAGGTCACTCATTCGCAAACCAACCAACCAATCAACCAAAACCCGGTTAAGTCATATAACTTATGAAAGAGACCCTTTTTTCTCCTTGCTTTGGTATAAAACATGGTTAACTAGACCACAAAGCAGTTATCCAAACCAATGGTTCTCAAGGAACATTTAAAAAATCACGAATCCCTGGGGCCATTCAGACTACAGGGGAATCCTAGAAAATGGGGCCAGGCATCAGTAATTTTTAATGGGCATAAAAGGAATTCCAGTATGCAGCCAGGTTTGAGAACTGCTGGCCTAAACTTTCTACTCCAGACCCTCCATGCCTGCCTGTCAGGCTAAGAAGATTATACCACCAACCTAATGAGACACAAGGACATCTGAGAGTTGTGGGGAGCTCAGAACCCAAAAGGGCTCATGTGAGACATTCCATGTCCCTACTTACCTGGCAGTCCCTATTTGGTTTTCAAGTTTAAGTGGCTATTTCTGCAACTAGAGTCCTTCAGAGTACTAATGTCACTAGAAATGAGAAGTCGCAAGTAAAAGGCGGCTTGCTCAAAGCCGCCTACCAGGAGTGTACTGTGTCCTGGGTAAGAGTTTGGGGTTTGGACACAAACTCTTCATATAAAGAGCTAACGAGAGTTCACAGGTTCAATGAACAGCAGATGATAAATGTTGGCTATTATTATTGCTTTGTAAAACCCCCCTTCTTTCAGCATAGTTAAAAAACATTTCTTGGGCTCCTGGATGCCTCAGTCAGTCGTTAAGTGTCTGCCTTCAGCTCAGGTCATGATCCCAGGGTCCTCGGACTGAGCCCCGCATCAGGCTCCCTGCTCAGTGGGGAGCCTGTTGCTGCTGCTCTCCTGCTCCTGCTCTTTCTCTCTCTCTGGCAAATAAATAAGTGAAAATTTTTTTTTTAAAAAGTTCTTAACTTGGTATAACCCGAAGTTTCCACTCATTGTGGTCACAAAAGCCTCTAGATGTATCCTGAAGAAATGCTGGTTTAAATCCATGACTTGCTACATAGGCACGAGATCTCTGGCCACAGGGCCAATGGGCAGGAGGCTTGAAATCCCATCCAATGTTAGTTGTCCATGGTACCAGACACCCGGGGATGGTGGCCAGAGCCTGGCATCTTCTGGGAGAGGGCTGAGCCCCTCTCCTGCTCAACCATCAGAGTGATATTTCTACCAGAGCTTCAAAATCTCTAAGAGGTATCAGGTGAAATGGAAAAGGGGAACCTGTGAAGCTCTGGCACGGATCCAGCCCCTGCCCAGCTAGCTGCTAGTTTCCAGGGGAGATGAAGGGCTGGGAACCACTCTGCAGGGACAGAGTCTGCCTGTAAGGGAAGAGAATTTTTAAAATAAAGTCAAAGCCATTGCCAGGTTGGGGAGCTGAGATTATGGGGTACAATGGAAGGTCCCTGATCTTTTTATAAATGTTTCCAAATGTTGCTGTCACATCATCTTTTCAATTATAAGCCAACGAAAGCCCACAGAAATGCATGAGGCACTCCTGCTAACGAGTTTCCATTCTCATTAGTGGGCAGGAGAAAAAACAACACCGGCCAAGTTGGGGACACAGATGTTGGTGTAAAGGCAGCCGGAGAGGCAAAGATGAACGAGTAGTGTGTGCCCGTGTCTAGCTCCCTTGCCCCTTCTCTGCTTCCCTACCATTCTGAGAGCTGCAGGCAGAAGGCGTTGTTCTTTCATCATCCAGATGACGGGCCTTCTGCATGTCCATCCACCCAACACTTATTACCAACCTCTGCCGGCAGCAAGCTCCCAGTGCCACCCAACCCTGTCTGGGAGGTTCCATTTCCGTCCTGTGCCACCTGCAGGCAGGGAGTTTATGGCCTGGGAGTCAACATGAGCAGAGCTATGGGGCCACCTGTGGCCCGTCTGTCTGTTGACTATCACGCTCTCAGGTCCTCCTCCTTGACAGCTGCCGACGGGCAGGCAGAGCTGGGGATGGAGGGGAGAAGCCGAGACTTGTGGTCTTTTCTGCTCCCGACATCCAAAGGCCCCTGCAGTGTCCTGCTGGAATGCAGGACCTCTACGGGTCAAGAGGACAGAAAGGCAAAGGGCGGGCAGTATTTACCCCACCTTACCTGGGGCCTGAAGATATGGCTGAAAACCAAAGTGCTGAGTGCCAGGCACAAATGCACTGGAGCCGGAGGGGAACTTGCAATCTCAGTTTTGCTCATATGAGCAATGGGGACACAGGATGTACAATTCACAACAGGACTTGAGGGGGAGGGAATAAGGCATGGAGGGTGCTCGGCGGAGGGCCTGGCATCTAAGAAGTGTTGGATGAATCGTAGCTGCTAAGGTTACTACTGTCATGGTTTATTATTATGTGAGATTACTAGATGCTGGGGGAGAAGAGAACTTCCTGCGTTAGCTACCCCTCCCGCCTAGCAAAGAAAACACAAACACAAGTAAGCCAGGAGCTAGAAGCAAGTTGTGAAGCCATGTGACTGTTCAAAGCCTTGGTTCTGACCCTCTCCTAACAAGCTTCTCGGGCTGTGGGCCTCTCCTGGGCCCGAAGGAAGGAGAAGAGCCGTGCCCACTCACGGCTCTGTGTAATGTGCTTTCGATCTACGTGACCTCGGGTAATCCTGGCCTTGCAATGACACCGTAGGGACATTTTACTGAAGTCATTACACATGGGGAAATGGAAGTTCAGAAATGTACAGAGTTGCCTGAGGTCACACTTCCGGGAATAGTCCTGGAGTTAAGAATAAAACTTGGACCTGTCAGCGACCCAGCCTGTGCATCTGCCGCAAACGTCAACCACACTGTCTACGGCAGAAAGTGCCTTGACCCTTCTCACTCAGATCCACGTTTTCTGAAAGCTGATTTGAGAAAAAAAAGGGGGAGGGAATTAACTAGCATTTCCAAAATTCTAAGAAGTTAGATTAGAATTTAGGATAAACATAAGGATTCAGAGATGCAGTCGACAGGAGTCTTCAAAGGTTTCTATTTTGAGGAAGTTACCTTTGTGCCCAAGTGGCTGAAATGAACTGAGAAGGGCAGGCTGTCTTTGCCAAAGGAAACCGGGCACTGCCTCCCTGAGGCTGGTGACGTGAAACCAAACCCTGACTGCTGGCATCTGGGTGCCTTTATTCCTGCCAAGAGGTGACTTTGTTTCTAAGAATACAAAGGACTAAAAAAGGTATCCTGGAGACCACAGCAGTGAGACAAACAGCTCTCCCTCTCCCCTTAATTCAACCTGGGTAGGTCAGGAATCCTTCTGTCCCCAAATCCAGAAGACCGAGAAGAAGAAATTCACCCGATATTTTTGGGTTTAAGTTTTGGTAAAATCAAAACTCGGAAGAAACCATCTGGTAAGGCTCTAACTACTTTCCATCCTGTCAGTCCTCCTTATAAAGGAAGAAGGCTAGGGTGCGTACCTTATTTCCCTCTCTCCTTCCCAAATACATCCCATTTTCTTTTCAGCAATGCTGGTTTCCCCAAAACCAAAGGTGAAGCACAAAACCAAAGAAGGGCAATTCTATTTTACAGGGCAGGAAACAAATGTTTGCAAAACAACACCAACAGCAACAACTAAAATCCCAAGTGTTGGGGACAATATATAAGCAGAAACAGAGTGAATGTCAAGAAGTCCTGTGTACGAAAGCCCAAGACTACATTTCTTGTTCTGATTTCCAAAACACAGCTTAACATTGGTTTGCTCAATTACAAAAAGAAGTCTCTTTAGGCACTCAGGAGATATGTTGACTATTAACATATCAATGACAACAACAAAAAAGGTACTCACTGTGCTTGTTTCTTTTATGGATTTCAGTAGAAAGAACCAGCATTCCTGACACATTCTATGCTAGGCACAGGGACTCCATGACCTAATAGTACAAAATCCCTCTCTTCAAAGAACCTACAGAGTTGAATGTATGGAGCTAGCTTACTGCCTCTACAGTCAGAATCACATATTTGCCCATGTAAATATAATGTTCTCAATGATTCCCACAAATTAGATTGGGAATAACGACAGTCAACATCCCCTCTCCTACACATCACGTGACTTAAGGCAGCATTCGCCTGCTCTTTTCATAAGAATGGCTGTATTCTCCACACTAAACATACAGTGGTATCCGTGAGCAAGGAGCACCCGTGTGGAACTCATTTGAAAATGTTCCTCAAGTTTCACAAGTCTAAGGTGGAAATCATGATGAGCACCAAGTTCCCCACTGCATCTGAGAGTAGAACACAGATTTGTAAGTTTCAGAAAATTTTCCTTCTTGCAACTCTTAAAAGCTAGGCACAGCAGGGTGTTTTCACAAAATGAGGGACTATGTGGCAAGAGGGAGATGGGGCCCTAATCCAGAAGAGGGAGCGAAG